AATCATTAATTATCTACAATAAATTTAAATTAAATTACAGGCCACACTTTCAGTTTTTTACTTTATTATCTATAATTCCATTTTTTTTTAAAAATTATTTTTAAAAAAAACTATTTTCGAATTAATAAAAATATTTCTTTTATTTGTGAATTTGTTATAACCTAAAATTTTTAATGTTATAGCTTGAAAGTCTAAATCTACTGTTATAGCCTGGAAATAGTACTATAATATATGTCATATATGAAATTTACGCTTTTTAATACACTTATTTGGTGCCCCTAACTGAGATCATTGACTACACCTTGTATTTTAGTTGTTTCTATATTTTGTATGAAAAGTTAATGATAATAAAAATATTGATTGAGACACCAAACTTATAAAACAACAAATCAAACTTATGGCTATCCATCACCCATGACATAATTTTTTTTTGGGAAGTATCACTTTGGGAGTGAAAGTGTTTTCTAGGAGTAATAAAAATGATTTTACTTTTAAAATTTAAATTTAAAATTTTTAATTAAATATTGATTGATACTTTTTAAATTTATTTTATCTTGTTGTTCTTATATTAAAAATAAACGAAGCAACATTATTATTATTTTTTAAAAATTAAGATATAGTTAATTATTTATTTTCACCTTTATCATTAATAGAAAAATTAATGTTTTGCAAAAGAGATAATAGTAATAAACAAGGATAATTCAATTATATTACATATAGTTAGTACTTTTTTTTTTTACCGTGGTTTCCGGGCGTCGCTTTGCGAACCCGACTATATTACATATAGTTAGTATTTCTTTAAGAGGCATGTAAAACAAAACGTAACTAAATAAATAAATCGAAGGGAGTATTCCCATCACTCATCGTAATCTTTGATGATGAAAAATTATTATGTAACAATGATAGACTAAATATAAGAACTTGTAGTTTGTTAAGGATAACTTTAGTCCAATAAGTGAAAATTGAGTTATTTTTAATCTGAAAATAATATTTAAAAGATACAAGACAAAAATATCCTTAAATCGATGATCTAAGTTTTATGGACACACATTTTTTTTTAAGATGATATTAATCTAACTAAAATAAATATTATCGTAAGTGCTGACGTACGTTGAAATTTCAAGTCAAACTTTACTCAAATCAAATCTAAACGCTAAATATTCTCAATCTAAATTTCACACAAATTTAAATCAAACGCTAGCTCAGTATATAATCAACAATTTCATCGTGTTTCTAGTCCTTGTCAATTTATAATTACGCGATATATGTGAAATTTACCTCGCACCAAAAAGTCATCTTTCACCGTCCGTTCCCTTAGTTCTAATCACCGTAGATCTCGATGTCTCTGTAAGTCTCTCTCGTAATTTTTTTTCCCCAAATATTCAAATCCCTAATTCATGCACAGCAATTTGCATAAACTCTATTCGATTCTCCATTTATTTTCTCTTTTGCGATCTGTTCAGATATAATTTATATATTTTTTGGGTTCTAGAGAAGCTTGTTTCATCGATAGAGGTTGATTCTACAGCTATTTATTGAAATTTAATTAGGATTTTGTATTAGAATTTTTGGGTCTTTCTCAATTTTTAGTTTTTGAAATTTCCCCCAATTTTTGGTGTCCAATTGTTTAGGTTTTAGGTATTTGAGCGTGTTCTTGAGTTTTAGTTAGCTATTTTTATGGCATTTGAATGCCAAAAAGGTATTGAGAGTTTGAGAATTTGTTCAATTGAACCTTCTAAGAATCGAGATAATTTGACATTAGAATTGGAAAAAAGAAAACCTTTACATAAATTGGATGCTAAAGGTGGGATTGTGAATTCAAAATGTGAGGAGTTGCTTACTGGTAATGAAGTTCTTCCTGGTTGTCGGTCCATTACTGAACTTCCTCCGGTATTGATTTCAGAAATATTTAATTTGTTAGAACCAAAGGAGCTAGGTATTGTTTCGTGTGCCTGTACATTATTGTATCAGATTGCATCGGAGCACCATGTGTGGAAGGAGTTCTACTGTGAGAGGTGGGGGCAGCCAATATTGCAGCCACCTTTTGGTGCAGGGCATTCGGATGAGAAGTTGTGGAAGGAGCTGTTTGCGGAGAGGGAGTTTCGGAGTAAAACATTCATGGGACGGTATACTATAGATATGTTGTATGGTCATACTGAGGATGTTAGAGCAGTTTTTGTTTTATCTTCAAAGAAGCTTGTGTTTACTTCAGGTTATGATCAAATAGTGCGAATGTGGGACTTGGAAGAAGGGTTGTCAATTGCCTCATCTGAATCTCTTGGCTGCACTATCCGTGCAGTTGCAGCTGATTCAAGGCTGTTAGTGGCTGGGGGTACTGGTGGATTCATACATGGTTGGAGAGCGAATGACGAAAATCCTCATTTGTTTGATCTTAGAGCACCTCAGAACGAGGATATGGAATTCCAAGTTTGGGAACATGGTGGGCCAATAACATGCCTTAGGTTGGATTTCAATAGGATGTATAGTGGTTCATGGGACATGAGTATTCGTGTTTGGGATCGATCTTCTCTGGAGTGTTTGAAAGTTTTGATACACAACGACTGGGTGTGGAATCTTGCTCCCCATGATGCAACACTGGCAAGTACAGCAGGCTCGGATCTTTATGTTTGGGATACTAATAGTGGGTCACAACTTGCTATCATCAACAATGCTCATGCTGGATATACTTACTCTCTGGCGCGAAGCCACACTGGGAAGCTTCTGTTCACTGGTGGGGAAGATGGAGCTATTCACATGTTTGAAATCTTTGAAAATGCCATGTACCATGTCAGGCGGGTTGCAACTTGGATTCCTCACTTGAATGCTGTTTACGCTCTTGCATTTGAGTTCCCTTGGCTTGTTTCAGCTTCAAGTGATGGAAAACTTTCACTTATTGATGTGAGAAAGCTGTTGAGAACAAACCGGAAATCCTCACTGAATAATTCTTCTAAAGCTGTTAATCCGGTTGACAATGTCGAACCACCACAGAGAATGCTACATGGTTTTGGGAGCAATTTGTTTGCAGTGGATGTTGGATCTAACCGAATTGTGTGCGCTGGTGAAGAAGGTCTTGTCAGGATCTGGAACTTCTCTCAAGCTTTGGAGATTGAGCAGCGGGTCCAAGCTCTAAGAGGTTTAAGGTTAGAGAATAGAATGAGAAGGCGTAATCGTCAGCTGGAAACGAATGATAAAGGTAGACGTGATAATCCGTGCTCATTTACAAAGAAGAACCAAACAGATGGTCATAGAAACAGTTGGAACAACAGGCGTAAGATGGTTTGGAAGGTGAAGGCTTAGAAGTGACTGCAGTTTGTCATTGATCCTCAGAGTAATTCTCTTTTTCCAATACTTCATCATGTATGAAAAGGCATTTTTTCGTTGAAAGCTTCCATAGATACATTTACAGTGAAGATACAATCTGTATCATTGGCAACTCTTTCGCTCATTTCTCTTATTTGATCTGTCAAGAGTTTTACTTGTTAAAAAAACTGATGTTGGCTATGAGATTTTTGTTTACAAACTTGTGCTGGCATCTTGCTGAATTTGACATGCCATTTCGGGAATTTATAGTGGGCACAGAATTTAGTGTTGCTTAAAAACACAGTGATTTCTTAAAGACTAGTTTTGATTTGATGAACCAAGGCAGAGAGGTTGTTTTGTGATTTTCCCTTGGATTGAGCATAGTTATTTACTTATTTTTTGCTGTGAATCTACAAATTTGATAAAGACAGGCAAGAAAGGAGTACACCCATAGATCCTTCGGGGTGGCTCAGTGGTTTGGGCTTGGGACTTCCATGTTGGAGGTCTCGAGCTCGAAACCCCTTGCTAGTGAAAGCAAGGGGTTTGTAAGCCCAGTGCGGGTTACCTCTCCTATATGGTTTGCGAGCTATTGCATAGAAGCAGGGGTTTTGCCATGTGCGCATCCAAAGGGTAGTGGCTGCGGGTTTCCCTTGTCATAAAAAAAAAAGAGTACACCCATATCTTACAGTCTGCTATCATATTCTACTCTAAATATATCACGAGGAGGGTGCAAGACTTGTAACTAACTAGGTCTCGTTGCTTTTATATTACTGTTGAATTTTGAGTTCCTTGTTATGACGTTCATTTTATCAACCTCCGCAATGGTAGTTCTCATCCCTTTTCTTTTTATCTGTCTTAACTTCTTTCAATCGACAAAACGTTCAGTTTCTAGTGTTGAATGGAGTATTTGATTTAGTGACAGTGACAAGTGTTTGCTTTGGATTTATCATGCAACCAACACAGAGATTACATGTAGAAGATTGAACTTGTCTTCTGTGTTTCACCCTTCCCAAAGTAGCCAATTTCTGATTACAAGGCACTATCTTAAATTAAAAATTTGCTGAGGTACACATCCCTTGTGCATTACCAGTTCCCTGTTGAAAGATGAAACTCTTCTTCCAAAATCCAGTCACAACTCACGTCGTCTTGGACGATTAATGTGGGTGGTGTTTGGCCCAGCTTGACTTGTGTGCAATTTGACTATTCTATCGAGTACCTGCTACCTCCCAACACAGTAACATAATGGATGATTATTAAACTGGCAATGAACCTGTGTTAGCTTTATTACTAATTATCTTCTGGTGTTAATAGTTCATTACAGATACCCTCAAATCTCCTAAAATTATGCATGATTTCCAGCTAACAAAAAAGCAACAAACTTACCATTTTGTTCAAACTTGTGATTAAAATTCTAAACAAAACATATTGGACCCCATACAGGGGGATGATTACATTTATAAAGTCACCACAGTGTATTAATAAGCTTAAAATTCGGATCCAACTTAAGTGACAATTTATTTTTAGCATGGTAAACAAGTAAAAGTGGACGAACCAAATATTATATAGTAACAGGAAAAAAAGGGGTTGTTTTGGCAAATTTACTTATACCTACCAAAAGCAAGTCATCACTACTATTTTACAACTCTGCTTAGTGCTCACTCACTTCCCACTGCTAACACGTTCATCTCAAATCTACAACAATGGCCACATCCATCAAAATCACCACAACCATTGTCACCACAGTTCTCATTCTCTTACTATTCTCCTCCCTGATTCCATCCACCAAAGCACAAGACTCGCCGCCGGCACCAGCAGCTCCGGCACCGAGCCCCGGAGTTGATTGCTTTAGAGTCTTAGTAAACATGTCCGATTGCTTTACATTTGTAGAAAGAGGAAGCAATTCGACTACACCGGGTAAAGGATGTTGCCCGGAAATTGCTGGATTGTTAGATAGTAACCCTATTTGCTTGTGCCAAATGCTTGGCCGAGCTCACTCCGGTGCTAAAATTGGGTTCAACATTGATGTCGATAAGGCACTTAAACTTCCTTCTGCTTGTAGTTTGGAGTTTCCACCAGCTAGCAGTTGCTCAGGTACCGGTTTACTCCCTGTTTCTTACATTCAATTTTGGGCAGCTGTGGATTTGTGAAGGGAAAATTGGGAGATCTACTTTTTAGCTTGGATTTTCCTTTAACTAGAAATATCCCCTAATTAAGGTCGTGACAATTAGTATCAGAGTTCAGATTACTGGTTTCACAAGTACAAGAGCAAATATAATTCTGTTGTAGAATGGTAGGGCTAGCGGCTAAGAAGGTCGGGATAGACACAATCAACATAGAATATCACTTGAAACTTGTTTTCTCTTTTTGCTTTAGGAAAGTTATTTTTCTCATCGTTATGAGGAAACTTGTTTTAGTAGAGAAATATTTTTCAATTTTTTTTTATCAGAATTGAAAAACATTTTTTGAAAAATATACTTCACCCTATGGAATTCACTACCAATTAGAATAAAAATATTATATACTTAGTAGATATGTAGAAAAGTAATCTAAATGACATTTTCATTTTGTTTATATTAGCCATTAATGGGAGTGAGAGCTCACAACATGTGCCTCAATTATTGAGTCCTTGAATTGTTTTCTTGCTCCAAATTTTACTAGTGGGCTCATTGTCCAAACATTAATAATATTTAATTCAAAATAAAAGGCATTCCGTATTCACGTAGAATTTTTGAAAAAACCGTACACAAGGGGTGTGAAATTGAGTAAATTATTAATACTATTTAAATTCCATAATATAGTAGTTCAAAGTTGAGACGTTATATTGTACTCCTAAGATCTTTTAAAAGTACTAACCTACTGTAAATTTATTTTATATTTGTACTTCTTTTGTCCTATTTGTTTACATTATTAATATTACAATCGTACAAATATAAGAAAATTGTGAAATAATAATTTTTACGAGACTTTAAAAATTTATTTATTTTTCTTTTAAAGATCTTGGCATTCCAGTCGGAGCTCCATTACCAAGTGAGGAAAGCCCTGCTCCATCACCTGGTAAACAAACTCTTGCAGTTTTTGATATTGTTTTAAGATCCCGACTTATTTAGATTCGCGCTTCATAAAAATCTAAAATAAAAGCAGGTGGCAAGTGGGATCAACCATGAATTTTTTAATCAATCCGATGGTACTAATTAGGACACAATTTCATAACCATTTTATTTCTTCCACAGGAGGATTTGCTACTAGTCCTACATCTGACAACAAAGATAATATTAATGCAGCTTCAATCATTGTATTCAACAAGATGCAATTCCTTATTGGCATGGTCATTATGTTTTTTCACAAGCTTTTTTTGATACAATAATAATTATTGGTAGAAAAAATATTACCACTTGAATCAGTAGAGAGAAGTACCCATTAGTAATATTTAACTATTTATTCTGTATCTTTTCCACATTCAAATCATTATGGATATAGAGGAATTCAACTCACTCTTGAGTGTCTAAAACTTTTTTATTTTTGGGAGAGAAATATAGTGGAATTCGAAACTCCAATGCCAGAGTGGTGTGGATAGCTCTCCGATTGAGTTACACCCCATTGTAAATCAAACTTGTCAGGGCATATGAAACTTGATGTTTGGATCTTATTATAGTATAACTTACTCACTTGATCACCATCGAGGATAAGATCATTTGAATTCCAATCACATTTTTCTCTTTATTGTTTCAATTTATCGAATATTTCGAAAAATGTTGATTTAATTGAGGAACTTTTTTACCTTTTGATATTACATTAAATAAATGGATACAAACTCTGTCTCTTGTTTATAGTAGCTTTTTTTTATCAGTTAAATAATAAATGAGTAACGGACTATATATACTTTAATTATATGATCCATTTTACAAGATGTAAGGGATTTATAATATCAAAGGATGATTTTTTTTGTATTTAAATTCTAACAAAATCAATCAAGGAAGAATTAGGCAACGTGACATGATACATAGTTAGAATTTCAAAATAAAATACTAAAAATGTATCTACGTTTTGAGTTTTATAGCAATGCATAAGCACACTAATATAACTTTTTTCGCGCTTAATATAATACCCGACTAATATAACTGATAACCATCTGAAACAACTGATATCTGCCTAATATAACTGATAACCATCTGAAATAATTGATACCCGCCTAATATAACTGATAACCATCTGAAACAATTGATAGCCGCCTAATATAACTGATAATCATCTGAAACAATTGATACCCGCCTAATATAACTGATAACCATAGGAAACAATTGATACCCATATGATATAACTGATATCTTCTGTTTAAATATAACTCGTTTGTTGATACAACTGATATCCATGTAATAATTATTACTCTATTTTGTAAATACGCAAATTATAGCTATATTCATAGCTCTAACCTATAGATATTTACAAAAAAATTCTCATTAAAATATCATCATTTCCTCAAAAAAAATTGCTTTGATTGATCCAAAATATCATAGTGTGATTGTATTTTTGTACTAAAACAGCATTCTCCGGGCCCATCCACATCTTCATTTCAGCATAAGTTTGACGTAAACTACCAGTAGGTATCTTCTATAGACTAATATCCACCGTTCATTTTAATCAGACGGCTCAAAATCGATGTACCCTTAGGTTCATTGGTAATCCACACGACACCCACTAACTCTCCCCGTTTTCTTCCTCCTCCGGCCCTCTGCAACTTCGCCGGTGCCCAAAACGCTGCAAATTCCTTCCAAACGCCATCGTTTTTATTGTGAAGAACTCTCTTGAAGCTTTCCAGGCCGGAAGTAGCTTTATCGCAAATTGTTTGAGATCCGTTTGGCCTTAATTCTCTCTCCTCTGATCATAGGTTTATCTCTCTTTTGTACATAGAGATATATACACATATATGTATGTATATGTGTCATGTATATATATATATATATATATATATATATGTACCTTCGTATATGTCGCTGTGTGTGTGTGCGTGCTTGTGACTATACATATGGTGATATTGACCTTTTTATCTGCATGACTGTCTGGTTATCTGTGTATTTAGTGTGTATTGTTTATGTTTTTTCCCCAATTTTTTTTTTAGCAGAGTATGATTTTAAGTTTGATAAAGTGAATTCTGGAAAGTATTGAATGGCAAAGTCTATGTTCAGTGTAAGCTTTAACTTTGTTATCTCATAATTCTGGAGATAACTTGTACATAATTAGAAATTACATGAAAGTGCTAATACGACTTTTATGATACAAAAACATGTATTCGCAGAAAAAAATTGCTTCTATTCTCGTGGTAAAAGTTTCATATAAAAGGGGATAGAGGAAGTACTTTGAATGAGCTCTTAAAAGGAATAGTTGGTGATTGAAGACAACAGAAAAGCATTGTACTAGTATTTCATCTGGTTTTGGTGAAGCGTTCGTACAAAATTTAGACCGAAGTAGAGTTTCTAAATCCATTATTGAGCAAATTTGAGATTTGGTTGTGCGTGATTTGTGTTATTATATTGGGTACTTTATTATTGTGTTGTTGACTTGCAGTACTCATGCTTGCTTTACTTTTCTCAATTTTGATAGCTGAATACATGAGGACGTGGTAAATAAGGGAAATGTAGGGTAAGAAGAATAGTACTAGTTAAAGATGATTGTTATGGTGAAATCTGAAGAAGTGACAACTTTTTGCAGGTCGTTACATAGTTATAGATGGCATCTTCAAGGATATGAACTGGAGTACCTTGATGGATGTAATTCATTTTCCTAAAGTGGTTTACATGTTCCGGGATGGATGTTGAAGAAGGGAACATGCACCAGCAAGGTGGTATAACTGATGACGGTGATGATGAACCCAGTGAGAGTGGAGAAGTAAATGTAAATGGAAGATCAAATGCACCTGATGGGGATAACATTGTTGAGCCGCAAATGGGTATGGTATTTCTTTCTGGAGATCAAGCAAAGAAATTCTATGATGAGTATGCTAGGCGTTTGGGTTTTACCACCCGTGTCTGTCAGTTTAATCGACTGAAGACTGATTTCTTATGTGACAAGGTTGGTTTGAGAAGAGTGTTGGGTGAATCCTGTGATGCAATGCTTAGAGTGGAGTTAAAAGGTCAAAACAAGTGGGTTGTGACCAAATATGTGAAGGACCACAGTCACTCCCTTGTGTATCCCAACAAGGTGCATCATCAGAGATCGCACAAGAATTTTGCGGTGACAAAAAAGAAGGTACCTGAGAATAATCAGGGTGTTGGAATTGTTCCTAGTGGTGTAATGTATGTCTCAGTAGACGGTAACCGCATCCCTGTAGAGATGAACCATGGAGCTAAGAGAACTCGTCCTGAAGAGTCAGATCAAACTGTTAAGAATTCTACACTTCAGAGTTTTTCTCCTAGACATTGCAATCAACGAAGAACATTAGGGAGAGATGCTCAGAATCTTCTTGATTACTTCAAGAAAATGCAGGCTGGGAATCCTGGATTTTACTATGCCATACAATTGGACGAAGATAATCGCATGTCTAATGTATTTTGGGCTGATGCAAGGTCAAGAAATGCATACAGTCATTTTGGTGATGCCGTTATACTGGACACGATGTACAGAGTTAATCAGTGCAGAGTCCCATTTACTCCGCTCACAGGAGTAAATCATCATGGTCAGACAATTTTGTTTGGTTGTGCACTTCTTCTAGATGAGTCTGAGGCTACATTTGTCTGGCTATTCAAGACCTTCCTTGCCGCTATGAATGACCGTGCCCCTGTCTCATTAATTACTGATCAGGACACTGTTATACAATCTGCAGTTGCTCAAGTTTTTCCTGAAACACGGCACTGTATCAACAAGTGGCATGTATTAAGGGGTGGCCAGGACAGAATGGCTCATGTATGTCACATGTTCCCAAATTTCCAGGTTGAACTCTATAATTGTATCAATTTGACAGAGACAGTTGAAGAATTTGAATCGTATTGGGAGATGATCCTTGATAAGTATGACCTGAAGAAGAATGATTGGCTTCAATCCATATATAATACACGTCGACAGTGGGTACCAGTTTATTTTCGTGATACTTTCTTTGCAGCCGTTTCTCCTAACCAGGAATATGAATGTTCATTTTTCGATGGCTATGTGAGTCAACAGATTACATTGCCATTGTTCTTCAGGCAGTATGAAAGAGCTTTGGAGAATTCATTTGAGAAGGAAACAGAAGCTGATTTTGATACAATATGCACCACTCCACCACTAAAGACACCATCTCCAATGGAGAAACAGGCAGCAACTTTATACACCAAGAAAATATTCTTAAAATTTCAAGAAGAGTTGGTGGAGACATTTGTCTACACTGCAAACAGAATTGATGGAGATGCGGTTATCAGCACATTCAGAGTTGCAAAATTTGAGGATGACCAGAAAGCATACCTTGTCTCATTGAATATATCTGAACTGAAAGCAAATTGTAGCTGCCAGATGTTTGAATGTAGTGGTATCCTCTGTAGACATATTCTTACAGTTTTTACAGTAACTAATATTCTTACATTGCCATCTCATTACATCTTGAAAAGGTGGACAATAAATGCAAAATGTGGTGCTGAATTAGATGAACATGTACAACTTCATGGTACTGAATCAATGGCACAGAGATACAACAGTCTCTGCAAGGAAGCCATAAGATGTGCTGAAGAAGGGGCTGTATCTCAAGAGACATATAATGCTGCATTAGGTGCTCTTAAAGAAGGAGGAAAGAAGGTGGCTCTTGCAAAAAGAAATGTTTCTAAAGTTTCACCTCCTAGATCACAAGCCAGTTGTGTTGGCTATGATGATCGGAGGACATCTACCTCTGCTTCAGAAATGACACCATTATTGTGGCCAAGACAAGATGAAATGACAAAGCGCTTTAATCTTAATGATACTGGTAGTCCTGCTTGGGCTGTTACTGATTTAAATCCCCAGCGCATGGCCCCTGTTTCTCTTCACCGTGATGATGGTCATGCAGATAACATGGTACTGAAAACCATTTTATCGTATTTAATTTCACTAGAAGATTTTTCAACAAGATGTGCACTACTGATTTTTTTGGGATTCTTAGGTGATTCTTCCTTGCCTCAAGTCAATGACTTGGGTGATGGAGAATAAAACTTCGGCACCTGCGAATAGAGTTGCTGTCATCAACCTGAAGGTGCATTTCAGAGCTTTATGTATAATTTGATTTTGGTTCACTGTTTTAACTTCTTTTTAAAGATCATCATGTTGGTGCATCGATTAATTGTTGTTTTGATAATGTAACTGATGTGTTTTGGATAGGGATATCAGGGTTGTGTGCTTCCTTTGATTTTGTGACCACATGTTTCTGGTTTAATTTCAGTTATCATGTTCTCTACTGCTGATATGTCATGGATTTGATTATTCAATTATTGTTTACTGAGTTTCTTTGGTTGTAGCTGCAAGATTACAGTAGGACTCCTTCACGAGAATCAGAAGTTAAGTTTCAGTTATCCCAGGTCACACTAGAGCCCATGTTGAAGTCTATGGCTTATATCAGTGAGCAACTTTCCGCCCCGGCTAATAGGGTTGCTGTCATCAATCTGAAGGTATGTGTGGAAATTTGTAGTAATATTGGTGCGTACACAGACTATATCTATTTATTTTCTGATGAGAAGCCAAGAAGGTAATCTTATCTATTCCTCTTCACTCGATATCAATTCCCTTTTGATTACTCTTAATTCTCTCTGTCATGTCCTTTCTCCTCCAGATTGTCATATTCCTATTTTAAGTGCCAATATGTTTCTTATCCTCCTGTTTTCCTTTGTTATTTTCTCTCTTTTTTTGGGAGAGGAAAAGGCAGTTGGTATAAGGACATGGTAAATCTGTCTGGATCACAAAAGAAATCTAATCTTCTGTGACATACAATGCCAGCACATCTCATAGGCAAATGCATCATCACAAAGTTGCTTTTCTTTTCCAAAGTAAGCCTGGTAGGGAAGGGGGCATACCAGGAAAATTGAATAATTCAACTTGGTATGAAGGGTAAATGAGCATTCCTCAAAGTAGCACTATACTTTCCTAATACTCATATCCACACACTTTAAGTTCAAAAACCTAGATAAATAGCCTTAGACATGAATCCTGTGGTACACTCTAGCATGGTCCACAGTGGCGGAGCTAGAAATTTTGTTAAGGGTGTTCAAAATTTAAAGAGTAATTTTTTTTTTTAAGCTAATGGGTGTACAAAATATATATTTTTTATTACTAATGAGTGGGTGCACCTAGATTTAAAATTAAATTACATATCATTTAACTAATCATATGAACATTTATAATTATAAAACTATTAATGGTATAAATCAGAACTAACCGGGAAAAGTCAACAAAAAACAGTTTTAACTACTACTCCCTCATTCGTCGTTACTTGTTTGTTTGACTTGACACTCTTAAGAAACAATAAATAGAAGGATAATTTTACTATATTATTCAGTTTAATTATCAGTTATTTAAATATGGAGAAGTGAATAGTATGTAATAATAGGAATAAAATAAACACAATATAATAAATTATCTCTTAATTTTTTAAATTAAACAAATAAAATTGAATAACTATCTTTATTAACTAGACAAGTAAAGATAGACAGAAAAGCAATTTAGTTATATAAGAAATATTAAATTTTCTCTATGAATAATTTTTTTAAAGCAATAAAAAATTTGGAATGTGTATCATTTTTAACGTTGATTTCATTGTAAAAAAAGTATTTAATGATCTTGAATAAAGAATTAGTTATAAACTTATAACATGCGGCAGTTATTTCTATTTATTTCCCATCTTTGTTCTTTAAACTTAAAAAGGTTGTCATAAAATTGCCTCAACAAGAATCGAACCGCAGACGTTGGACACTGGACTGAACACACGTACCGCTGGACTATCAGCCTCTATTGTGCTTCAGTGTGTGCATTTATTTATATAAGGAAATAACACAGAATATATTGCATAAACATATGATCTAATTTTCCGACGAAGGGTGGTCAGCTGACCACCCTTCACGGGCTGTAGCTCCGCCCCTTATGGTCCATGTAAATATAGTTCATATTTTAGGCAGTAGTGAGGCTGGAAACACAATATAGATTGACAAATAGGCAGGAATATAAGGCCAACGAATTTCCTCGTTAACACCTCAGTCTTTCTGCTGATTAGTCTCCTAGTCCTTATTGTCTACAACACCAAACACTGCTTTTTTTTCATCAACTTCGCTCAAACTTATTGATTTCTTCAAATTTGGGAGTACCTTTTAAAAGAATATTTCATTCATCTGAATTTCCTAGATCATGCATGAACATTTATTAGTCTGAAGCCTAAACCCTTTTTGACTTCTCGGAGGTGTAGAACTGTTCAAAGTTTGTTCTGTTATCTGCTGGAGGAGAACTTTGAATTTTCTGACTGGAAGCCGCTTATGAAGATTATCCAAACAAATTCAAGCATATATGATGATTTTCTTTGTATTCTCTCATTGCTTGTTTGGAAGTTGCCTTTATTTAAGTTTTAGTCAAAATGAAATGTTTGATATCCTGTAGTAATACATCTGTTGATAGTATGTTTCTATAAAAACAGTTGTCCTTGATGAGATTGAGAACTCACAAGTCAAAGAGCATTTGGTTGAGTAGTGCTTTGGTGTGTGGTCTATTTGCTTTTAGTATTGTCAATATATCCTTTCATTATTAAGTCTTAATTCGTTTTTGCCTACTTGCTGTATGTTTCTTCCTAAGGTTGTGAATTTCCTGGAAACTTGTTGTCAGCCTGTGAATTAATTGAATCTTCTTTCATGTAAAGAGTGCTAATAATTATTTAAATGCAGTGTTCAGTTGTTCTTGTAAAATCGATTAGACACATCAGCTTCTGCAGTGATTTGTCTTACTGATGCAGAATCTCTTTCTTTCAGCTTCAAGATACTGAAACAACTTCAGGAGAGTCAGAGGTGAAATTTCAGGTTTCTAGAGATACTTTAGGTGCCATGTTGAGGTCAATGGCATATATCCGCGAGCAACTGTCGAATACAGTAAGTTCCCTAGGCCTTTTCAGTATATATTATCCGCTTTATCTATCCAACTTGAAATCCTTTTAAGATAAAATTGACTTCACTGCTTTGGCATTATGGAGTTTTCCCCTGTTCCACTCAAATGGACTAGAGTAAACCTGAAACTGGAAATGGTTTTCTTACTGAAGTTCATCTTCATTGTAATCCGATCAATTTAACTGTGGGGAAATATCTTCCAGACTACCTGTGAAGGAGTAGCTCTTCGCTGTTAACTACTTGAACAATTCTCAATGTTATTCTTATGACATGAGAATTGGGTTTATATCATTTTTTGCCAGCAAATGATATTGTCTGGGTATCAAAAAGTTTGTCTCTGTATTTCCATTTTGAATCACATATCTCGTTTAACTTATATTTGAAAAAGATTCTCGATCTTCTTTTTGGTAATTTTGGTGCCTTATTGTGAGAACATAATAGTACAAGAAACAGGGAAAAGGGATGTGGTCATGTAGATATATCTGATCTATAATGAGTTAAATATAGCAAGCAGATTTCTTGTATCAAATGATACAAGAAATGATATAGATGTCCTAGTCCCACCAAAAGGAGACAAAACAAAGTTAAATGTGCTAATCTCATCGCGAATAAATCCTTGTTTCACCGACATCTAAAACTCCCTCTAATGCATTTAAGTTGATAGATGTCTATTTTAACTGATAACAGGAGCATGCTATGCATTACATGCATGCGTGTGTATACATGTCCAAGTACATAGTTTAGCCATGGACCACAGAACAAGAAATAAGCTTACACAGTAGTGCTTAGTTTGGGTCCATTCCCAGGATGTGTCCAAGTAGTGCGATGAAGTGTTATATCTCCTTAGTTTTTCCATATAAGATTCAGCTTTAAAGTCTGTCAACTTCATTAACTGTGTTTGATCAATTCGACCCATGCATTGATCAGACCCTTCTTGTTAGCTAGACATTAACCGTTCACCTCAACTCATATGACAGGTTGAGTCGCAACTGGAGATTCCAGCAAAAAAGCAACGGAAATAGAAGTTATGTCCTTTTACCATTTATAGCCAGTTGTGTGAATAGATAACCTTGCGGAATGGGGTGCTGCTGCTGTGCTGACATTCTTCTTTAAACATGTAATTAGTATGGTTGAATTTGGAATCATCCAAGTTCTCATTGTGGAGCTTTAGGTAGGATAGCAGTTTTACATGCTTTGCCTTTTCTGCATTATTTGTACGTGTAAATTATTAATTTTATAAGAATGCAAGGTCATGTGTTTTTTTTTCTTTTTGGTTTTCCTTTTTTAAACATTTGCGTTGAGTTCACCGTATACATGTTACCTCCCACCAACATAACTATTCCTTTTCTTGTTCAACTCTCTTTTTATTTCTTTCTTTTTCTAAACTTCAAGCTCCTGAATGAACTGCTTATAAGACTTCAATTCTTCTCAGTAAAACAGTATAAAAGTACACCTTTCTCACAAGACACATTTTTCTTTATCTCACAAATTCGACACCTCCCCTTGAATATGTTCGTATCGATTCATCCATCACTAAAGCAAATAAAAACAGACTAAAGACCGTTCCCTGGTGCAACTCATCACAACCAGGACGACCCTTCTTTTGTAGGAACCATTTAAATGGAGAACACAGCATGATGCTTAGACTGAATAGGAAAAAACCATAATTAAAGCAATTGTTTACAAGTAGAGATTCAAGTACTTTCGACCAACATAATAATGGTTTTTTTGATGAAGTCAACTAACATTACAACTTTGTCTCTATTTACTTGACCTATACAAATGATGGTGAGAGTAGAAATTCTGGCAGTAGTTTCTTTAAAGGAATCCCACAAAAGGGACACCAAGGTTTTGGATGTTCATCATCTGTGTTAGACTTGAAATCTGAAGGATATCCAGGCATTCTGAAGATGGGTGAAGGGGCTAATATTGAGGCCCATCTCTGACAGCACATGCAATGCCATACCGGAGCAATTGGGCAGATACGCATAGAAACAGCACATCGAGATAGTTTGTGTGTCGGATCATTTCCAGTATCACACTTCACCCCCTGACAGATGGCGGAATCTGGAGAATCAAATGGTACTGATGCTGAGCAGAAACTACATTCCTCCTTCTCTACATATTCACAAAAAGAGGGACGCTGACTGCAAAATAAGACACAGTGAGTCAGAATCAGCAACATCCACATGCACATGTTTCTCGTGTCTGTATCACACGCCAAGATCAACTTGAATACTAATGGTCAATAAACAATAACTGGCACATGAAAATTCAAAGTTTCATCATCAAGAAAGAAAAGGTTTTATTTGCATCAATGTGATAAAACCTAATCAATTGGTTAAGATAGAATTCAAACAATAAGTAAGATAAAATGCAGATTTCTTTTATCAATTCCTTAAAACCAATCAATGTTCGTATATAGTTAAGATCTAGGAGAAAATGGGCATCATTTTAGATCACAAAATATTATTCTATTTTACACCTAAAAAGATAATACACTAGATATAGCTGGAAAAAAAAAACTGAAACATCAGAACGTTGAAAATACAAAGACTGTAAATGGCATAGATCATGCGTAAGAGAAGTTATTAAAGCAGGCATGTGGTGGAACTACCTCTTCTTAATGGTTCGTACTTCATCTGCAAGAAGTTTCAGATGATTCTTTATATCTTTACAATGAATTGCAACCCACTGCTCCATCTGTGCTGTTCCAATAGGGACCCAGTAACCAGGTTTAGTACCCTTTCCATGAGAAGCAGAGGTGACATCAAGAAAGACAGTAAAGCTACAGCCAACTAGCCTATCTCTCAGTTCCATTTCACTATTTGAATGAAGCTGTGTCCAATCCAATCTTTCATCTTCAGCACCACCAATGACCTCCAAAAGCTGTGATTTCCCATCAAGTTTATCTATCTCCACCTTTTTCAAGACTACCAGCTTACTGATGATGTTGAGGAGTTGCAACTTACGCGAGGAGATCTCTGAGAGACATTTAATTGCTTCAGACAAGTTTGCAGAAACTCCAACCGAAGATTTCAACCATTTAAGTACAATATGTTCCACATATTTCGGAATAGACTGTTTAAAGGCCAAGAGTGCTGCTACAACATCCCAAACAACCAGTGGTTTATCCAAAGGTTCATGCTGATTTAATGACCATAATATATTATTCTCCCAACTAATTAGCTCTTTCTCAGGAAAATCTGGGAATATTTTAACATCAAAATCGGGACAAACAGTTGAGGAAATCTCCAGTTGCTGTCCTCCAATCCATAGAAATTCTACTGCAGCTTTCAGAGCCCTGGAAGTTTTGAACAAAGCGATGTTAGTTTCTCAAGCAAGCTATCCTTCCCACTAAAGCACTACCACTAGTTTATCGTCTCTTTTTTCAAAAATAGAATAGACAGAAGCACATGGCAGTTGTCAGATTATCTCTGGTCCATATTAGTGTGAATCCGTAAAAGATGTAAGCCTTAACTTTACAGAAGAGAACATGTCAATAATCAACGAAATGTCATTTATCACAATGACAGTTCCAAGTATAGACATCCATTCTTTGTTCATGTAGATTATGTTTACTTTCAATTGAAAGATGGATCTGTGCATATTGGAAAGTAGCAGTTTTATATAGCAGATAAGGAAATCTGTGTAGGAGAACTTATTGATTAATATAATGGTATAGCTTTCTTGAGAATGATAATGGTATAGCTTTAACAATAAAACCTACTTTTCCCTCACAAAAGAAGAGGAGACGGAAGAGAAAAATGATCTAGAAAACTATATGGACTTTTTAAGCATTCTAAAATTGCAAACTCCGGAATTTGTTGAAACTGGGAGGTCGTACGTACCCAGTGGAGAACACCAGTCATAAAAAAAATACTAATAGTTGACAAAAGAATCTTCCAGACCCTTCTTTTGTAAAAAGTACTATCAAGAGCATGACGAGTTTTTATTATTAGAAGATAAATCTGTAGCCTGTAGCCTGTTAACGATATACCTAGATCCACGTGAAAATTGGCATCTACAAATATATAACAACAAACAGCCAAAAAGGGGAAATAGAATACCTTGCCTCGTACATTGGATTTAGTAGCGCAGTAGAAAAAGCTCTTACCTGCACGGTGTGTATAACTTTTGTTGGTATAAAAGTAATAAAACAGAACATAAAAGAATAAACATCTCATTCAATAATCACCATTATTAAGAAGGATTTTTATCTGATGATCTGTTTATAATGCGAGAAGCTTGTAACGAAAGAAAAGTAGATCTTATAAAGGGCGTATAATAGTTTCAGGTGGGAGTTTCTAGTTGAACTTAACTGCTGAAAAACTATACTGATCAAGATTTAACAAGACTTAGTTGCATTCTGTTCTAAAAAACAAATACCAAGATGGTCCTAAGATGCTGGCAAGAATTATCTATCTGCTGAGCTTTTACGGGAGAGTTTCCAGTAAGATATTTCAGTGTGATTTTACTAGATTATTATTAGAGAATAAAAGTGGTCAAGTTATCCTGTGCAGGCAGGGGAGAAAAACAAAATCAATCATTAAAAAATAAAGACCGATGCTTTCTTCTCTATCCTCTCTCTCGGTGCGGGTTAACCTAACGTGCGCCGTCGAGATCCATGGAATGAGGACGAGGGGTAGGGAGCAGGACTGCCTAGGAAACAACCACTTGTAGCATTTGGTAGTTCTGTAGGGTTTCGATTGCCGGCAGAGGCCTCATCTTCAAAACACCCTACCATATGGAACAGCTGACGCCGCTGAAACCCTCATCCAGTTCCAGCAAATTGACACAGGAGGATACAAGTATTGAGGCAGACGCAAATCTAGCTGGGGATTCACAACCCCAAGAGCTACTGGGGTCCACTGCAGCTCACTCAAATCTCAGCTCCCCTATAATGAGTATTGGGCAGACAGTAAGAGACCTACTGAGAAGGGTGACAGGAAACTCCAGTAAGTGCCAAAGTGATGGAACAAGTGATAGACCTGGAACCTAACCTTGAGCGGGCCACTCTTTTCTCGGGTAATAGATCCGCAGATAATGGTATGACACTTTCCTACTTCTCTCCCCAACTTGTTAATGGACAAGCTGTTGTTCAACTGGAGAAGGAGGAAGTAGACCCTGAAATAGAGAAGTGAAAATGCCCACTAATTGTTTATGTGATTGGAAACTCTACTGGATTTTCCCTCATGTATAGGTATATCAAGTAGACTTGGAATAAGATTGCTGATCCGGAACTGTTCTTACATGATGAAGGCTACTATGTAGTTAGATTCCAAGGAATGTTGATATGAATGAGATTGTTTGCTCCAGATCATACACCATCAGGAATAAACCAATGATATTGAAGCCATGGAACACTGATTGTAACTTCAGTGAGGAGTTTTGACTGATATTCCTCTTTGGGTCAAATTCCCCAATCTACCAATGAGTTGTTGGAGTAGTGGCAGCCTGTTGACTTCAACTGGAAACCACAATATAGTCCCCAATGCTTAACTACTGCACATATATGCCCTGCCCAGAAAAAAGCTGATGTCCAACAAGGTGAACAAAATAGAAGGAAAGGTGCACCACAGAAGATGGTCCAGGAATGGAAATCAAAGAATGCTGTATCCACTAGTCAGTCCATCCAGGCCAATCAACAAAAAGATGTTATCCCTTTGTAAGCAAATACAATGGCCTAGTAGTGCAAAGTTGCATACAGTGCCTGAAGTAAGCAAACAACATCAGGGAGTTCCTGTAGTTCCTGAGGTTGAAAATCTTCAAACTCAACAAACTTCTAGAGGAAAGGAGAGTTCGCAGAGTCAAGAACTCAACCTTGATAATTTTCCAATGCTTGGATCTGTGCTTGTTCATAAGATTAGAAACAGTTTCCAACTATTGCAGAGGGGAGATCACAATGTCAATCAGAGTCCTCGACATCCTTATGACTTTATTAGTGTGGAATATCAGGGAGGTGAATAAAAATTATAAACAAAAGGAGCTGAGGAATTATATGAAAACCAAAAAAATTAAGTTTATTAGCCTGCTAGAGACTAGAGTCAAACAACATAGAAGTGAGAGGATCTCCAAACTCATTGTTCCAGGATGGGGCTTCCTATATAACTAGCACATGCTGTAAATGGTAAACATTTGGATCTTATGGGATACTCGACACTACAATGCCACACTTCTTAAAGCTATTGCCCAATTTATCCATTGTGAAGTTCGAGATGTTACTACCAATTTTCAATGTGTCATGACAGTTGTTTATGGCTTCAATACAGTGGAACAAAGAAGAACTCTATAGCACAGCCTTATTGATATGCCACAGGCCCTACTAGTCTTGGGTGATTTTAATGCTGTTTCTCTCATCTGCTGATAGAGTTAGTGGTAATCCAGTGAGTTATTATGAAGTCAAAGATTTTGCTGAGTGTATCAACACTCTTGTGCTGAATGAATTGAAATGGAGAGGGAATTTTTCAACTAGAACAATAAACAACAAGCAACAGATAGAGAGTCGAACAGTTTGGAAACTTTGTATGGATGATGAAGTGGGGCAACATCCCTCTTGAATATGATCTGCCTAACCAGGATATTGGTGTTTACTATGTTCATCGAAAATTGTGAATTAGTATGCAGACAAACCACACTCAAAATAAGGACTGAAGGGATAATGCATTACCACTGCCAGCACCAGATTCCCCGGAGATACGGCTAGACCTAAGCAAGAACAAAATGCATCTGGCACCTGCAAAGAATTTTTCATTTATGAAACAGTTGGTGAGAGAGACGCATGAACCAAGATACATGTGCGTACATCAGCAGAGCCTTCCACACCAGGTGTATTGGAAGGAATAGGTACTTCACACAGGGAATTTTCATATAAAATCCAGCAGCGTGTTGAGTCATCCTGCAAAATATTCAGGAAGAAAGTTTATCTTACCACTAAACTATGCTCAAAATGCAAGAACTTCCATGTAAATCTCACATCAGGTTTGGTAAATAGAACTGTTTAGTTACCAAAAAAAATAATCTCACATAGGGATTTGGGGGACGGAATTTGGAAAAATTTTGTATGCTACATTACTTTTACAGCCATCATAGTCAGAGAGACATCCAAAGAGTGCTCTCCATTAGGTTGATAACAGTAACACTATTCAGAGAATGGTAATGTTGTGGTTTAAATGTTTAGGACAAAAGTCAGAAAATAGACATAAAATAGTCCAAGTAGAAACACCAAATAATAAAGTAGCTTACCTGGCTGCAGCTGTACAGGCAACGTCCGTCAAAAGCCCAAGATAGACCTGTAACCTAGAACACATCAACACAAGTTAATATCTCCAGATGCTAAAGAGGTAAGGATTTGAGTATCAATAAGAACTCACAGCATGGTTATGTGAATCATAGGTGCCAGCTTTCTCAAATCTACGAAGAAGAATGTCACAAGTCCACACTTCAATTGATCCAGATCCCTTGCCAATGGCTAAAAGCATTTTGTTAGGTGACTGCCCAGAGACAGTGAGGGAAACCATAGTGGCCATTGCAAAGTCGGCAGCCTTTACCTGTTTAGACAATAAGAAACAGATAATGAGACGAAGAAGTGAAAAAGGAATAATTATAGAAAATTTGTATGTCAAAAAGAGACCTCCTTCAATAGTGAAAAGGGCGAACCACTAGGTTCTGATGATTCTACTAGTCTTCTGCAACACGCCTGCCAGATTTTCACACTACAAAATGAAAAGTAAGAAGAATAAATTGTTGAACCTATTAACTCGTGCAAAAATGCAATGTATTGCAGGCCATTGCATTAACTGACACCAACATCTACATTTATAGGCGTCTTCTGCAGTTAGTATGATTGTTTAGCATCAGTTTGATTCACAATGTTATGACATACGGAGATGGGTATGCAGTGAGTGGAACTCTTCACACGGTATCAATGTGTATGCAATGAATGATTCCCGGTATCTGTTTGAACTTCCATCTAGAAAGGAAGCAGATCATGTCATCCATGGAGATTGGAGATGGAAGAAATCCAAACTGACGCTTGAATGGTGGTCAGCCACTGTTGGATGTTGGCCAGAAGAGGTGGCAAGAAGCTGGGTCTGGACCCATATATACGCTTCGCCTCTGAACATGTGGTTGCAAACCACTTTCAAGCAGATCGACAGATGAGTGGGGGATGGATTAAAACAGAGGAGGAAACCTCACTCAAAAATCATCTGCGCTGGGCCCGCTTTAAAGTTAGAGGTGACGGTTCAGAGGTCTCTAGGGAGAAGGAAATGGAAAGTGACGGTTCATTATCTCCCAGCAGTTTGATTCAGGATGTTAACTAAAACTTCTATCCTTTAAAGCTTCCATTCTACTGTTCTATTACCATTTGATTACTTAATTTCTTCCTAAATAACAAGGAAGTTTAGCATTATAATATAGGATGGCACAAACACATATCTCGTCCCTGAAACTTTGACACAACTGTTCTTGGACTCTTGCTTTACCAATTGATTACTTCATCACTTCCTCATTGGCAATACAACGTTAACTATTAATAACGATCTTTTAGCTTTACTATAATAGGATGGTCACTAACACGTATTTCTTATTTAAGGCTTTCATTCAACTATTCTTCCCACTTGACACTTTATTCTGTCCTCATTACCAATTATAAAACCACCTCATTTCTTCATCTAGAAGCTAAGTGCTCTAAGTTGTTTTGGATTTTCTTGTCTTGATTTGTCTATTCAGAAGATAAGATTAATACTAAGGAGAAAAAAACAAAGCAGAGGAGTCTCTAGACAATCAGGTGAAAAATAGAGGAGTCAGCATGCTAACAACTTCTTTTCATTTCATGGCAGAATGTGTTGAAGTATACTGCACCCATCGCTGCTTTTTTTGCTATGATTATTGAATAATATTAACGAAGATACATACCTCCCATTGGAACATCCAGTAGCCAATAAAAGCAGAGGATCTGAAGCATCAGAAATGAACAAGCTCCAACTGATTGTTGTGATCCAAGTATCATGTGCATCGAGAAGTCCAACAAGCACTGTTTTATTTGAGTCAGGGCTGTTCATAATAGAGTAGCTTTCTGGTTTATGAATTCTCCACAATGATAGTACGCCAGACTTCCCTCCAACCGCAAGTACAGAACAGCTACTGGTCAAGCCATTAGCAGAAGATATACCACATCCAGATGTCTGTGGGAGACAGGGTGACCACGCAACAATGAGTGAGGACAGCATCGCATTGCGAGAGGCATATTCCTCGGCAGTGATTAGTGATTGACAGCCATCTCCAAAAACTTTCTTAGAAAACCTTGATCTTAAGTGAGGAGCAGTAAAAGTATTTTTCTGTTTCTGACTGCATGCTTTAACCTCCATCACCTAACAAAAAAGTAATAGCATCATAAGAAAAACTGGTATTGAAGTTGGTAATAAGCAAATTTCGTCATATAAATAACTAAATAATCATTTGGCAAAGGTAGTTCTTAAATGTTCACTTCTTTTCCCTTCCATCTCTGTCTACATTCCTTGCAGTCTAAGTAATTACAGCATGTGATAGTACAATATTCATGCATAGTGAAAATACTTGGAGGAACCAAAGAGATCAGCAAGTACGGGCAATGCGTTCAGTCTCCGACGCTTAAGTTCCTTTCTCATGATAGAGATTGGCAGATCATCATCATCTCCCTCATCAAAGCAAGCTTGACTAGGCTGTTAGAACAGAAATCAAGTCAAACCAAATACAGCTGAAGATACAGAGAAGAGGCACTGTTTCATGTGAAAAGAGTAAAATCCACACAATGGAGAAACAATGAATTTAACTTACATCAGCACCTTCTGAGACTCTAAAGTTTGCTGCCTGAAAATTGGTAGTTTTGAGATAGCAATACAGCATGTTTGATATATCCATGACCTGTTGAAGTTTGATAATTAGATCAATGGGCAAAGACTAGAAGGATAAAGGACGGAAGATCACTATGAAGAAACGGGAGAAACCCATTGGAAATTGTTCAAGAGAACCATGTGGCTTGATCACTGAGGACTCTCAAGTTCTAAACTGAACTTCTAGATGCGAATTGGAGAGTGTTATTCACACCAAAATGATGAAGGATCTGGGATAAGAATTGGACAGGAATACAATCTAAAACCAAAGACATGAACTAATTGAATGCTTTCAGGCATTTGCTGAGGTAGTAAAATACTATGTTTCAAAAGAATAGCACTGGGTATTGAAGTCTTCAATCTGTGAGGAAGTAGCCAAAACGTTATAAATATACTATTCCACATCCTTGTTTGATTCATACCTCTACCCACTCTGTTGAAAACTCAAGAAATGGCATCCGGTAAAGCCTCACATGTCCTTCAGTAGTGCAGACTGCAAGCAAACAACTACACCAAGCAAAAACATTGTTATTCACATTAGTGTTGAGAACGACCAAAGATCATTAAACTGATATGCTTCATAGATCATACCCAGAATTTGAAGCAAATCCAATAGGTGACCAGGATATTGACCGGACACATGGCCGATTTTCCCGATATTGTTTTTCTTGGGGAGAGGAGTCTCGAGATAATGCAATATGTAACATACAATCAGAGAGTAAATCTGTGAAGATTTCAGGCATAGTTGGAACACATATACGAACCATTAATAAGTTGTCTAACTAATTCACATCACTTTTTTGAACTAGTAATAAATTTACTAATGTGGGTAATTTCCCGATACCCAAGTGATAGTAAAACAAATAAACTATACAATATATGGTTCTGCACAGAAAACTATCATCTTGTACTAACAAGAATCCCATTCATGCACCAAAAATCAACTGTACAAGACATATAACATTACCTTTTCTCTCAATTAACCCAACAGAAAAAGGTTTGCCAGGAGGTATAGTAATGAGACCTCGTGATCCAAATCGTTTAGCTGGATTCTGAAAGACAGAAAAATATTATTTTTCACTAGCACGTTTGCTGATTCAATGCCTAATCAATGATACTAAATCACCAACATGGGTTGTGGTGCAGTGGTGGGACTAATCCACCCTTAACCAGAGGTCTCAGGTTCGAGCCTGGGTATGGAGAAAATCCTATTAGGAGAGCCACCCCCAAGTGGCTCTGCATTGCACGAGTCCAAAAGATGAAAACTTTTTTATTACAAGAAAGGCACAAGAGGATCAGTTGTGAACAAGAAATTTACCAATATGGTAACAATATGACCGGAAGCTACTGCCACCAAATTCTCCTCAGACCAAGCTACAGAATTGGGGTGAGATGGGGAAGCCACAAGTATAGAAGCTTGAAAACTTGAAGACATTGTTGAATTTAGCAGACCAAATTGTGAATCCTGAGAAACATGTCAACAATTACAAACTCCTTCTATACAGAATAACAAGAGTCAATTTTTGTACAGAAAAAGAGGGGGAAAACTGAAAATAGAGAATAACAACAAGGAAAATCATAAATGCTGAAAATAACTACCTTGAATCGATTCGACAATAAAATTACATGCTTCAATGGCGTCTTCTTTGATAATTTAGAGAGCTTCGGCAAACTGGGATTTTAGGGGTTTATAGGTTTCTTTTTAATTTTGGTGGCAAACGAGTGAACGACCAATTGATTAAATTTGGACGATTAAATTGAACTTATTAAGTGTAATTTAGGTGTGTTTTAACCCTCGACTCAAAAGATTATGAAAAAAAAAGAAAGATTGCTGTATAATTTTCGGATAAAATTTGGATTAAGCGGAGTTTGAATTGACTTTTTTTTATAAAAAAATGACTTAAATTAAAAATAAAAAATTATTATTTAAAAATACTTTTTGTGTTATCCATATACCGAGAGGATGATTTGTTAGAATATAGTGGCCTAATCACCCGTAAAATTCGATTAAATTAAGATAAAAAGAGGATGCTATATTGCTAAATGTTAGATTATAACAATTATTCTCTCTTTATTTTTACGTTTCCTATATGACTCTTTCATGGTTGAGATTGGTTATGGGTTATATTAATTATTTGATTTATCATATTAAAAATAATATATATTATATAATTTCTAATAATAACATATTTATTTACAAATAGTCTTTATTATTAATAAGAGTTCTATTAAAGGTGGCAAAAGTTAACCGTTCTTCCAATTATATAATATTTGGTTATGGCCGAAAAGCTTCACTCCCACTTTTGTCTTATATTTTTATACTTAATAAAAAACATTTACTTGCATAGTTACTTTAAGGTCTAGGACAAAAATAATCACTTTTTCTACACATTTAAGAGTTTTACCCAATAAAATTCTATGGTCATAAAATTCTATGACCATAAGTGAAGTTTAAGAAAGATAAGAGTATACATAGACCTACCCCATCTCATGGAAGTTACACCGTATAGATATATGCAGGATTAAACTAATCCAACCACCACACATTAAGGACCAATTTGACCATTTTCTCATTCTGTAAATATAATGAAGACTTTTTTAATAGAAACATTTAGTGGGCTTATCCAGCTTAAACAGAAGAAGAGAGTAAACTAAAACAGTTTGTGCTCTTAGACACAAAACATGCATGCAGTTTTAATTTGATAGTTGTACAAAAGTTCAAAATCTTTCGCAAGCCAATATCAGAAAGGGAAACTTATAAAACATATAATGACGACTAACGAACTAAAACAGTTTGTGTTCCTAGCTACATAACATGTCTGAAGTTTTCATGTTTGATCCATCCATCCGTTCTCAGGATTACAAGGCTCACACCAAGTTGCAGGTCAGTGAACAACTGGCTTTAGAGGATGTGCTCTCAGTTTTGACATATCCAAGTTACTATCCAGATCTTCATCTAATTCCCCAACGACGCTTCTGCAACAATGAAACAGAACAACCTATTAGAGCTTAAAGGAATCCTTGTTTTTGGAGAACCACATGCATCCTTTAAATAAGAAGTGGCAGCAAACAGTGCACATACATGTTGTCCCCCCTTATGATATAAAGACCTAACACAAGTTGCTGTACACCTTCCTGCACATAAAAGCTAAGGATTAGTAGTACTTAACACACCAAGCACAATAATGCAAATAAACCACAGCCTAATTGGAAAAAGGAATCATTTTTTACTTTTTGGGGTATAAGCATGGAAAATAAAGGAATCTTAATGTGAAAAAAGCCCAGTATAGCATGAATCTATAGTTAGCAAACACAATTTCACCTCATACCAAAGCATCTTGTTTCACGTCTACTGCAAACTGCTACAGGGCCGACATTCAGGAAAACCATACTCAACAACATACCCAGTGTAATCCCACAAGTAGAGTCTGAGGATGGTAGGATGTAACAAATCTTACCCCTACCTTTGTGACTTGTGAGGTAGAGAGGCTGTTTCGGATAGACCCTCGGCTCAAAAAGGAGGAAAACCATACTCTACCATGAGGATATTATGTTACCCGATTTTCAGATAAAGCCAAATTGAAGATGTAATCTCACTCTTTAATTCCTAGATTATGCAACCATGAGGGAATTTCTTAAATTGCAGTGAACGACTAAATGAATTGTTCCTAGTAACACTGATACTAATAGTGGTAGTAGGAAGGTCCCACAGTTGGAATCCTGTTTAACAAGAATGGATAGCTGCTTGTTGCTTTGTACTTCTTTGGCAATTTTTTATGAGAATACTGTCTACTTAGATAGAAAGTAGGACCTGAAAATCCAAATATTCAGGCATTCAAAAAGTACTTCTAGCAACAAACTAGACTACCATGTAATGACTCGATAAATTCTAGCAAATATTAATGAGGCGGAAAAATACTAAGAATCCTAGGGAACTACAAGCAATAAATAGAAACATCCACATATATCAAAATATCGTTCAAAAGTAATTTTTATAAATAACTGAACACCACTATTAAAAAGAAATGTCTAGACATGATTAATGCATTCTTCAGATAGACACAGACGAACCTTTGTTGAATATACTCTCTCATGAGATTCATCAAGAATCAAGTTTGTAGCCTGGTCGAATCCTCTCAGAACTCCCTGAAAAAGAATCAAGAAGTCAGCAAAATAAAGGGTCTCCAGCCCAGTATTGGCAACATAAGCAACACAATGTCTCACCACAATATTCCGTCCATCATTTGTAATAACTGAGATAGTTTCTGGAAACACCAAAAGAAAGAAAACAAAGAGTGTCATTCCTTAAAACATGAGCTAATCTCATTAAGCAAGACAGAAAATAAATACAAGGACAACATACGATCAACAAGAGACTCAAGCCCAAGTCCAGTTGCCATGTTGCAGAGTGAGCAGAAACTTAGTTGTCAGCTTCTTGGTAAACTGATGCTTAAACATTGTCAAAACCATTAAAGGAAGTCCACTAGTTAAAATACTTTTAAGCAAAATAAATAATACTAATATGCGAGAATGTGGCAATATAAGAGCTATGTTGAATAAAACAATTTGCTGGCTAAACTTATGGGTGGGGCATTTGCTCATTTTTCTAGGAAGAAACAAGTCATTGAGAATATCAAACAAAGAGCTGAAGGCAGCCTAATCGAGCAGAGATTTGAATTATCATAATATTGTCATTTGCTTTAATACCCATAAAAGATATGGAGTAATGCGCACACAGGTCAATTTTTGCCAAACATAAAATATTACCAAATCCCTTTTTCTCATCCACCTTTAGTCAGTCAGTTTTCTAAATGTTTTTTTCTTAAATCCCAAGATCAAAAGCTATAGTTTAGGTTTCATAAAAACGAAAGATAAATGCTTGAGTACTATCTATATATCCCTTTTATTCCTGTTGAAAAGCTTACAACATAATTAAACCTAGATAGATTATTCCACCGAGCAAAGAGATGAACCATTTTACACCAAAATGGGCAATAGGATTTTCTACCAATTCTAAAGCAATATTATTCTTTCTCTGCATAACAACACAACTTCCATTATTCAGTGAGACTCTAGAATTACGAAAAAAACAAATATCGAACAATAATCTTCATTTGAACTCACCTAGTACCTGGGAGATGGCAAGTATCCCATGGAACTAGTGTGCGCAAAAGCTGGCCTGGACACCACGGGAACTCACCGGAACATATGTTTCAAATGCAAAACAATACACTATCCGGTAACATTTATACTCAAAACTGTTGATTTTTTTTACAACTTTGCACATCGTGTTAAAATTTTAATCAGAATGCACAACAAAGATACATACATAGTTGGGGAACACAAACATAATCAAATTAATTTCATTCCAATGAATATAAACCCTAAATACCAGTACAGTACTCTCGTATCGTCTTCTAAGTTCGATATACTGTTCATATAGTATCTGAATAACAAAAGTTTGTTCCGATATTATATCTGCCGCCGTATCAGATGATAATTATATCAGCCGAATCAAATTGAAGCAACAAAAAAAAATGGCGGAGATGATTCCATACATGTAAGAGCTTAGAAATCCGAATAAACAAATTATTTCTACTACGGAGTAAGGAAGAACCCTAAATTTAAGCCCTAAAATTAGTAATTTACCTGCGAAAAAAATCGTCGAGGAGTTCTCGAAACTCGAACTGAGGAGAAGAGTGAGACGCCGTGCGTTAAAGTATGTACCCAGTAAAATTATACAAGTGATCCTTATAAGTTTTGTCTAAACTTTGATTTGGTCCTTAATATTTGACTTGTCTTGAGATTTGATTCCTCAATAGATGAAAACTAAGCCAGAGTAGTCCTAGAGCAATCTAGGTGATTTAACTACATTCAATTAGAATGAGGGGATTATAATATGAGAATTAAATAAATTATGAAATTATTTAGTGATATATTTATTTGTAATGTTTGGTTGATTTGATTAAAAGTAGAGTATCTGGTATAATATAAAATATGTTTATTTCTATATTAGATAAGTTTGAATACGATTTAATTTTTAATTTTAAAACTGACATTTTTAAAGGGTTTTGGATGAACATCGGGAGAAGGGCATTCTATCATATGATTGTTTTATTTTGGATTAACTAGTTTCATGATTGTTATTCTATATTAAATATAATTAAAAATTATATCACTAGTATTGTATCAATGTATATCAAATATACAAAATTCTTACTATAACAATTTCATTTGTAATTTCATAGGTGAAGGTTGAGTAATGTACAATATACGCATACTTTATTCTTATTTTGTTGAGATAAAGAAATTATTTCTGAAAATCCTCAATTCAAATAATGCAAATCAAACTACTTACAAAAATACAAAATTTAAACTAAATATAAAACAAAATAATTTCACACTTTATTTCAAAATTATTATACTTATTTGATCAAAAACCTCTTAATCTATGTGATACTAATTTTAGTGGGGAAATAGTTGAAATGCGCCCCGTTGAACCCTAATTCTATAAAGATTTTTTTTTTATGTTATACCATTTTTTTTTATGTATAAAAAATGTATAACCTTTTGCCCCTTAATTCACTTTTTAAAAAGTTGATAATATGGTGTGATATAATTTTCATTTTGTGGCTTATAGTTTGACCAACATTTTGTCGTTTTTCTTGCTTTGGTATAAAGCATGTTTTTATTTTTTCAAATTCAGTTAAATTTTTTAAATTTCCGAAGAGTAGGAAAATAATTCCACAAGTTAAATTTTCTCATGTTCCGACCCAATATGTTATCTTGTCATATAATCCAAAACTTAAATATTTAGAAACTTTCCCAATAAAAATAGAAAATAAATTTCACAAGTGGCATTTTATCAATTTCCGATCACTGAGTTGTCTTGCTATATAATTCAAAACTTATATATTTTAAATTCTGAACCCGTTTTGCTAGGCAAGTACATGACAATGGGAGGAAAGCTATATGGTAAAAGATATTAGAATTTAGAGGGAAGAAAGTAATGACTGTTTTGAAAAGGTTGGAATAAATTCTAAAACAACATTAGAACTAAACGTTTTCCTCTTACAGAAACCATAATTTAATTCCCCTGCCTTTCATTATGGACTAAAGTTTGGAATCTTAATTGTTTTGGATTATCAACTATGCCATATTTGCCTAATGAAGAAGCATTGTATCCCAAGTTACCACTATTGGCTGCCATCTTTGTTACATATATTACTAATTGGAATACATTTTATACTACTAACAAAAAAATGACTTCCTACTTGTCTTTATTCCTCTGTCTCATTCTTCTCTTTAATGGTATTTATCTCCCTGTTTTGCTGCTCTTTTAGGTTTTTATTATTATGATCTCAAACTATACTATCTATATCCTCAAGGGAGTCTTGATACAACTGATAAAGTTGTTGTCATGTGACTGTAAGGTCATGAGTAAGAGATGTGGAAACAGTCTCTTGCAGAAATGACTGTGAACAATAGATCCTTGTGGTCCGACCCTTCTCAGACTCCTCGTATAGAGAAAACTTAGTGCAATGTGATGCCCTTATCTATGTCCTGAAAAACATTGATAAGGTTCAATAGGCGCCAATTTAGCATCAATTGAGTTGATGTTGTAAAATGCATTCTACAACATATGCACGCCAATTGATGCTAAGTTGGCGCCTAGCTAGCTAGCTTCAACTTGGCCCTAACTCGCCTCTTATAAGCCTAATAGAGTTCAAACCTAATTGTGTAAATGTATATTGAATGGAGCGACATGAATAGTGAGAATTCATATAGCTAGCCAATCCCAACTTGCTCGGAATTGAGACATAGTTGTTGTTTTTATCGCTTTCTATTTTAATCTTCTTTTGCTCAGATGAGAAACAAATATTTTTTTACCATGTACTAATAATACTTTTGTTATTTCTTGTACAAAGTTTTGGTGGCAGATGCATTCACAGGTACATATGGGATAAATTATGGAAGGTTAGCAGACAACATCCCAGCCCCAGAAAGCGTTGTAACGCTTCTCAGGGCGAACAAAATAAAGAATGTTAGAATCTATGACGCGGATCATAGTGTTCTAACAGCTTTTAAAGATTCTGAAATTCAAATCATCATAGGACTTGGCAATGAATTCCTCAAAGACATAAGTGTGAATGAAGATCGCGCTATTGAATGGGTGAAAATAAACGTACAACCTTACCTCCCCGGTACCTTAATTCGTGGCATAGCAGTTGGTAACGAAATTCTTGGAGGAGGAGATACTGAACTATGGGAAGTTTTAGTCCCTGCTGTTAAAAATGTGTATAATGCACTTGACAAATTGGACTTATCACACAAAATAGAAGTGTCAAGTCCACATTCAGAAGCTGTTTTTGAGAACACATATCCTCCATCAGCTGGTGTATTTAAAGAAAGTATACTACCATACATGTTACCATTATTAAATTTTTCGAAACAAATTGGTTCACCTTTTTACATAAATGCATATCCTTTTTTGGCCTACAAAAGTGACCCTAGTCACATTGATCTCAACTATGCATTATTCGAGAAATCCAGTGGTATATATGATGCAAAAACCAAGTTGCATTACGATAACATGTTTGAGGCAATGATTGATGCTGCATATTTCGCGTTGGAGAAGGCAGGGTTCGAGAAAATGCCAGTAATTTGTTCAGAAACAGGATGGGCATCACAAGGGGATGAAAATGAAGCTGGTGCAAATGTGAAAAATGCAAGAACTTATAATAATAATTTGCATAAATTGTTGTTGAAGAAAAAAGGGACACCACATAGGCCTAAAATGGTGATGAGGGCTTATATATTTGCTTTGTTTAATGAAAATCAGAAACCTGGCCCAACTTCAGAGAGGAATTTTGGATTGTTTAAAGCTGATGGAAGTATAGCTTATAAAATTGGATTTAGAGGACTTGTGCCTTCTTCAGCATCAAAGGTATTTTTTCTGTCTTAGATTATTTATCGTGATTTCTAAAGATAGTTTTCGTGGTTTTTAATATTATTCTTTTTTTTTCGATGCAGGACTTTGTACTAGGAGGCGGGTTTTGGAGTTCCCAATGGTTTGTTGCTTTGGCGAGTGCAGTAGTGCTGACTCAATTTTTAGACTTGTGACCATACTCAGAAATTTAGCTCATAAAATTACAACGTGCTTGTTTGTCTTGTACAAAATATACTTGTATAAATCAATATAACTTGGGAGCTCTGATTGTCCAATTTTATGGAAGTCACTCTTTATTATTCCAACAAAATACAGAGTTATCACTGTTTAAAATAGTTGCAATGGAACTACTTGTTCTTACTTTGTGTGACCAAAAGAGAGTTCACTCTTTATTATTTCAACAAAATACAAATATATCAGGTGCTTAAACAAATGGGTCCATAGCTCAGTGGTAGAGCATTTGACTGCAGATCAAGAGGTCACCGGTTCGAACCCGGTTGGGCCCTTTCTTATTTTTCATCATTGCTCTTTTTTTTTTTGACTTTTCTCGGGGGCAATAAAGTTTTCCTTATAAGTTCTCGCTCGATCGAAAAGATATAACACATACGAAATCTTAACTTCGCTGACTTTATGAGGTCTAACCTTCGCCACAACAATTTATTATTGAACACTGTGGTTGCCCTTATAAGCCCAATTAGATCCAAATGGACTTCCAAGTTTAAGCCCACTTCATGTTTTTCTTTTGTCACACTACACAATAGCTCAACAAAAAAAAAACTTATAAAAGAGGGCATACCCATCATATATCTAAACTATATATTTTAAAAAGTTTTAGGAAATTTGTTGGTTAGAAAAGAATTATTAATTAGTTAGACTTTAAAAAATAGAAATGAGGTCAAATAATATGATAAGAAATTATTATGTAGATTTTAGGTAAGCAACTAATGTCAACACGAATAATTTCTTTTTTGGGCCGGACTTCAATAATTCTGAAACATTTTAGTAAATGTTTATTCTTTGGAAAGTTGAATGTATAAGAAAAATTCCTATAAATAAATAAAAAAAACGAATATATAACCTGTTTTTCTTCAATCACATGAAAATATTACAAATTATTTGTGACCCTCTGTGTGAAGCATGGGTAATATGACTAGTATCTATTTTCTATAAAATTGAATTAACATCATAATTTGCTTTTTTTTTTCCTTTGTTGACTGAATATTCGTCAAGAAAGAATGAAGTTTTGTTTTTGTATCAGGAATTAGATTAATGGTGTGTTTGATAAGTAGGAAAATATTTTTCGTAAGTTGATTTCTTACTTATTTTTTAGTAGTTAGTTAGTAAAAAAAAAATATTATTTCAAGAGCATTTATATGTATTCTAGTAAATTTAACCAAAAAAAAGAAGTGGGGAATGAAGTTTAGAACGGGGGAAGGGGATGGTCAACAGGTGCGGTTGAGGGCAGAGGCAGACACACATGCAAAGTTAGGGGTACACCCGTTAACTTAGAAAAAATCACTTATATATATATATATTGGGAAATTGATAAAAACTAGAATATAATTAACAGTGCATCCATGATGAGCGTAGGAGTGCTTTGTGCAATTGTGCTGCTGGTACAAGCCAAAGGTACCACCTGCGAGACCAAGGTTTGAATCCACTTTAAATTTTGGGTTCGCATCTAGCTGGAGGTGTTGGGTAGGTGAGGAGACGATAATGAACTTGCAACATCACTTATAAAATTTATTTTCCTACTTCAATTAGTGAAGGTATTAAAAGGGCCAAGATCTCCTTCCACCCGTTGAATTAAATTTGCCCATCATTCTACCTATTAGTTCAAAAATGCTACTTAGCGTATTAGAAATGACTCAGAATTATATTTCCTCCATCATTAGATCTAATTTGTTCCTAACATTATTTTCATAGTTTAAATCGCCCTTCTAATATGTTAAGGATAAAATTGATCCAATATGCGGAAAAAGGAAATTTTAAAGTCATTTCTAATACATTAAAAATATTTTTGAATCAATAGATGATAAAAGTGAAAAATTTGATCCAATAGCTGAAACTAGTGCATTTCTAGTCAATTTTTAATGCATTACGAGCATTTTTAACCCTTTCTCATTGTATCAAAATATGTGATTTGTAAAGACATCAATAAAACTCTTGTATATATTATTATTATTATTATTATTATTATATACATAATACAAAGAAACATGGGATGATAACCATCCATAGTAAATGAATGGCCATTGACCTCCTCCTCCGTTACCTGGAATTAATCAATCCTCCAAGAAATGGAGAAAGTATGTTTCCTCCTCCTCCAAAAATTCCTGGAATTAATAAACTTTTGGCTTCATTTACCTCACTTGCTGCTCCTGCTCCAGTAATCATACATATGCAAGTTAATTTTCTCCAATTCTTATAATTTTTCGAATAACAAACAAAGCTATCAAAGAAAATTCTTCTTTATTAGGTTTTATATAATATCTCTAATTGATTTTTCATGAATCATTTTGGATAATAAATATATATATCAGTCCAATTTTTAAATGTACTAAATCAGGGGATCAACTATCAAGATGATATAAGTTACTAAAAGGGTGGGCAATTGATCACCCACCCAATTACTTGGGTATATTATACTTTCATGGATCGATTTTACAACTTTTAGATGAAGTGAATTTAGACGAATAAAATTTTTCTAAGTTACTAAAAGGCCGGACCCAACCAAACTTGTGTCATTATGGAAATTAAACTTGTGTCATATAAAGAAGTATAAATTATAGGAACCACATATTATAAGTACTAAATAACATCCTATTCCTGCTAGTTTTCTATTTACCAAAAATCCCTTAAAAATGATGTTTGCGGGATACATAGCGTTGTGCACGGGATACATTAGGTTTGATACATTCCACATAGCGGGATACATAGCGTTGTGCATGGAATACATTAAGTTTGATACATTCTACATAGCGGGATACATAGCGTTGTGCACGGGATACATGCGGGATACATAGCGTTGTGCACGGGATACATAGCGTTTGATACATTCCACATAGCAGGATACATAGCGTTGTGCACGGGATACATGCGGGATACATAGGTAAAATAAGGGATTTTTGAAATAAGTAGGGATAAATGGATATTAAGGTAAGTAAAGGAGTGTAGTTAGGTAATTTGTCCTATAAAGAATTCGAGTTTAGATTCCACGATTTATTTATATTGAAAAATTATACGAAAAGTATTATCAATCAACTTAGTTATTGACTCAAAATATTTAGGAAAAAGTAAATTATTTGACTTTAAAAACAGTAACACTTTTACATAAAATACCACGAAAAAATCATACCCTTTTCTAAGGAAGTGAGGGATCTTTGAACCAACTCCCTAGCTGCAACCTTTGATGTTATCACAAGAAAAATAGCCAAAACAATTAGCAAAAATGCCTTCAATCCCTTTTTTTTTTTTTTGCTTAAATATATCTACTGCTTGAATTATGATAATTGTTGGAAACTAATGAACATTTTACCTCTATTTATAGTATTGATCATTTGAACTTCTTGTGAGCTAAAATTGAAAAATTGCATAAGTAGATATGTATGTACTAGACTAGTAATTAATTAAGTTGGCAGATCATGTATTAGACTAGTTATATATTGCATTTTCCTAATTATCTTTATATGGCAAAGTATAATTATATAATTATATATGGCTAAGAATTAGCTATATCCAAAATTATATAAATGTCTTGAATTATCAAGTCTCTTTATAACATTATCGTTATCTGCGATTCAAATATTTTTTTAAATTGTTATAACACAATATTATTTCAAAAAGGGAAAGGCTCAAATATGTTATCAAACTTTTAAAATAGGCTCATTTATGTCACCCGTTAAAAGTTTGGTTCATCTATGCAATTGTTGTTAAAGAAAAGGCCCATCCATGCCATTTTTTTTAACTCATGCAAAACCATTTTTTACATCCCAAACAACTTTTAACACTTTTCAATTAGAGTTTTTGGATCAAAATCTTCCTTAAAGAACACCAACAACACATAAAGAACATTAACAATTCACAAATTTTAAACTTCTTCAATTTTTCACAAAATCACCTCAAATTTCAAGAGTAAATTCCCTCTGAGCTAGATACCAAAACTCAATATTTTTTAAGCTTGAATTCAACCTAACTCAACAAGATCCACTTGAAATTTTTCAAAGTTTCAAAACGTCAACATTCTTTAATGGACGAATTTTCTCCACAACTTCAAATTATTTGAAATTTTTAACATAGAGTCAAAAAAACACTAGGGAACAAAAATCTAATGTCGAAAACAACTACAAAAATACAAATTAAAGAAAAAATTTAAAATTTTAGGACTGATTTTCGTTTTTATGGAATATTTTTTTAAATACGGGTGAATTTTTTAAACTCTACAAATAATTTTAGAATTTTGGTATTTTTAAAAAGGAATTAATGATGTAGCCGAAATTTGAGATGATTTCGTGAAGAATTGAAGATGTTGAAAATTTGAGAGTTGTTCATTTCTTCATGTGTTCTTAGTGTCCTTAAAGAAGAAGAAACAAAAAGAGTATATTTGATCCAAAAACTTCACTAGAGAAATGTTAAACTTGTTTGGGGGGTAAAAAAATGATTTTGCAAAACTAGAGTTAAAAAAAATGGTTATGGATGGACCTTTTCTTTAACATCAATGGCATAAATATGCCAAACTTTTAACAAATGACATATATTTTCCCTTTTAAAAAACATATAATATAATATAACATAACATAACATAACATGCAAAATTGATTCCAAAATAAACTTGGACGCTATAACCAAAATATAAATCGTGACTGAATAATAGGAGCAAATTAAATTTCAACCAAACTTAGTGAAAGTAACTAAAGTCACTTATGTACCTTATTTTTATATCAATAAATTCACCTTGTTACTTAAAAATAATTTTAACGGAGAAATAGATTTTCTTTACTATTTTTCAGAATATTTAATCAATTATATTTTTAAAATTTATATTTAATAATAGTTGTTATTTTTTATATAATTTCATCCATAATTTTACAATCATATCAAAAGTACTAAAATTAGATAAATCTACATAAATTTACAGTTATATCAAAAGTACTAAAATTAGATAAATCTAATA